AAATTTAGCAAGGGAACTGACAAGCGTCCAGTCTGCATCTTAGTATCCGCATTGACGTACACACACGAAAATTTGTTACTCATTACACGTAAGCATGAGAGTGTGTCTTATGCTGTGGACATGAGGACTTACTTGTGAACGACTCTGGAACATTCGCATTCAGAAAGACAGGTTTGGCTTACGAGCACTAACAAAAGATTAGAACAAGAACTAACTAGACACGGCATAAGTTCTTATCACTTAGAGCGAATCTCTTCATTTGCAGAGGATAGGATCGCTGCTAAGTGCCCTGAAAGTAGTACGTTTGTTACGGCTGGGCCGTGTTGCGCGCAAGCTTGATAATTATTTGGAGTACGGAGCAGCAACGTTACTCCTACTTCTCTGCGCTTATGTGCTTGTTGCTCACTGGTTGGCCTGCGTGTGGTTTTCGATTGGCGAATACGAAGTTAAACTTCGGGTATCTTTCAATCCGCTGATTGCATAAAAATTATTTCGTTTCTTTAATGTCTCCATATTTAGACATTGGCATGTTTGAGGCTCAAGAAAAGCTATTCTTTTGACAAGATAGTTCACTCTTTTCCTCGCTTTTTAAGACAAATTCCACATCTATATATCATTTAACCACTGTGAGCGTATTTTAACACTTAAAGTCTAAATAATGGTACCCTCCGGTCGAATTTGGTCTCTTTAGCTGTTCGAAATTTTGCTGTGCCTTGATGGCTCTGAAAGCTTCTAGGTACAATAGCGAGATGCTGGCCACATAGAATAATTTTTTTAAACGCTTTTTAGCCGCGCTCCTTTCACCCGCTCAGCTCCTGAAATTCATCATTAATTCGAAAAACACTTGCAAAAACTAACGAATGCAGTTTTTCAGTTCTTGCTGCCAAATATGCCAGAGGGCTGGCTGACCAGATTGTCAAAAGAACTTAACTCGCCTTTTAATTATACGTTCACGAATAGAATGAGGCTGACTGGCGGCCCGCAACGAAGTTCCGCATACATTAGTGGTAAGCTTTTATTCATTATTATGTGCGCGTGTATACTTGGGTCTGCCTGGACAAGTCAATTCAAAAATTGCAGGAACAAGGAAGTTAAGTGGAAACAAAAGATTTAACATAAGCTACCGTACAAATTAGGGCTAATTTATAACAGCTGATTTTTTTTGAAATTATTTCAGCACTATATTTTACGATGTCTTGTCTATCAACTGTAGGATTCGGCAATATAGCATCAACAACGGATAACGAGAAAGTTTTTGGTGTATGCATGATGATTATTGCTGCTTTGTTATATGCTGCTATTTTCGGCCACATGACCACCATCATACAGCAAATGACATCGGCCACCATAAGGTTAAATATCGATAAGTCATCGATTGTATCAGCTTTGCAAATTTGCAAACGCTGAATTATTTTTCACTGAAACGAATCCTTGGGCTTCAACATGTTGCAGGTATCATGATATGATAGCAAATGTGCGCGAGTTCATCAAACTTCAGGAAGTGCCAAATGAGCTTGCTGAGCGCGTAATGGACTATGTTGTGAGCACATGGGCTATGACCAAAGGCATCGATACTTCTAAAGTAGGTTTTGGTACAAAGATCAGCAAATACAGGATTTTCAAGAAATCCTGCTACCCATAGCAGTAGCCACAGCTCAGCCCCGTCGACTTTACTTTGAATGCATCTATTGTTCAAAGCTAAGCAGTATAAGCTACTTTGAATCTCTAGCCAGTAAGTAGAAATTATCCACAAACTAACTAGGAAGCCAGCGGCGGCTGCTGTTTTTACTGGTGCTACAAGAAGCACAAGATGAGGTTCTTATGATTGCGATTTCGAATAAGATTTTTTTCACCGTACTAGAAATTAGTGTTTTGATGGAATCATTCCGGGCAATCGTGATGGAATAAGTAATGAGAATTTCCAAAGTTAAGAGTGGTCACGACATTTCTGGGTAAAACTAAACCATATGTGTTTGTATGCTGCCTTGTTTCAGCCCAGTGTTAGGTATATATTTTCATACTGATTAAAGGTACTGGGATATTGTCCAAAAGACATGAAGGCAGATATCTGTGTGCATCTGAACAGAAAAGTGTTTAACGAACATGCGTGCTTTCGACTTGCCTCGGATGGCTGTTTGCGTCAAATCGCCATACATCTCGAGGTTCATCTTTTAAATTTGTTTTTATAATCAAAATCAGCTGCACTGATAAAACCGTCGCAATTTTGTGCGAATATGCCAACCAAACAAGGAATTTGCTGTAAACAGGAACTATTAATTCAGTTAAGCTCGGTAAAGAGGTGCGCTGGTGGGCTGCAAACAAGGTTGAGCGATACCAAATCCAGAAATTACATTGGCTGAGAGAAGTGCAGAAAAGCAGAAACCGAAGGCCG